ATTATATATTAAGGATGGGTAAATTGAAACCGTGATGAGATATCACTACACAACTATTAGAACAGCTAAAAAAGATTTTTAAGTGACACTAGCAAGTGCTACTGAGAATACACAGGAAATAGATCTCTCACACATTGCTGATGGGACTATGAAATGGTATTTTCCAAATGGCCATTTGAAAAAGAATTCAGCAGTTTCTTAAAAACTTAACACACCATACAGTCTAGCAGTTTCACTGCTTGGCATGTACCCCACAGAAATGAAAGCATATGCATCTACAAAACACATATACGATGGGTATATACCCCAAATAACTGAAAGTAGGGAGTGAAAAAGACATTTGTGCCCACCATGTTCACAGCAGCATTATCCACAATAGCCAAAAGATCTGTTGGCAGATGAATGGATAAACAAAAAGCGTACATACATGCAATGGAATAGAATTCAGCCTTTAAAAGGGAAAGCAATTCTGACACATGCTTTGAGGACACCATGCTAAGTGAAAGAAGCCAGTCACAAAAGGACAAAAATTGTATGATTCCTCTTATATGAGGAACCCTGAGTAAACAAACTCATAGAGATAGAAAGTAGAATGGTAGTTGCCAAAGACAGGAGAGAAAAATGAAGGACAGCATTGCTGGTTAACGGGCATAGAGTTTCAGTTCCACAAGAAAGAAAGAGTTCTGGAGATGGATTTTGGTGATGGTTGTACTATGATAGGAATGTTCTGAATGCCTCTGAACAATACGGTTAACAGCGGTTAAGATGGTTCATTTTATGTTATGTGCATTTTATCACAAATAGAAAAATTTAAATGTCAGAAAATATACATGGATATTCATAGCAGCTTTATTCGAAATAGCCAGAAATTGGAGACAAACTAAATATCCTCCAATGGGTGAATGGTTAAACCAAAAGTAAGAAACTACTGATGCGTGCAACAACTTGGATGGACACCAAGGGCATTATGGCAAGTAAAAATGCCAACCTTTAGAGGCCACACGTGATAGGCTTCTATTTATATCACATTCTCGAAGTGGCAAATTTATAGAGATGGAGAACAGATTAGTGGTTGCCAAGGGTTGGAGGAAGAGGGGGGAGAGGGGCAAATATGACTATAAAGGGAAAGCAGCAGGGATGTTTGTAGTGATAGAGCAGTTTTCTATCTTGATGGTGGTGGTTACAGAAATCTACATGTGAGAAAAATGGATAGAACTACATACACACACCACAAATGAATGCATGTAAAGCTGATAAAATCCAAATGAATTCTATGGATTGTACCAATGTCAATCCCCTCACTTTGGTATTGTATGATTGTTGTATGTTACCATTGGGACAACTGGGTAAAGGGTGCATGGGACCTTTCTGTACTAGTTTTGCAATTTCCTATGAATCTATACTTATTTTGAAATAAAAAGTTAGAGCCCTGCCTGGTGTGGCTCAGTGGACTGAGTGCTGGCCTGTGAATCAAAGGGTTGCTGGTACAATTCCCAGTCAGAGCACATGCCTGGGTTGTGGGCCAGGACCCCAGTTGGGGGCACATGAGAGGCAACCACACACTGATATTTCTCTCCATCTGTTTCTCCCTCACTTTCTCTAAAAATCAATAAATAAAATAACTTTTTAAAAATTTAGAAACAAGTAAACACACCAACCAATACCTGAATGCTTGACCATGGGCCAGCAAATTCCCATGTGGCCTGAACTGTTCATGAAGAACTGTCTGCTCCACCAGGTCATTTAAGTTGGGTGCACAGTACCACTCCATCATCAAATGGAAGCAATTTATATGCAGCTGGGTTCAAGTAGATCCCGAAGGCACAAGTAACTGTATGATTTCCTTATGACCACAGCCTCTACTCCTGCTACACTATCTTCATCCCCACCCACAACCCCATGGGAAGTTCCCATGACCAGCTGCTTGAAGAGAACTCAGGTTCTGCTTGCTATGCAGGCACCACCTGAAAGTGGACAGTGGTAAAGGGAAATCTCTCAGTGGAGTGGCTTTTTGAAGACTTGATTATAGTGTTAGGTAGATGGTAGCATATTGCGTGCTGGGGCAAGGTCCTCCAGGATGCTAAATAAGAACCCAATATATAATGCTGTTTCTTGCATAACAGATTATGGATCCAGTTATCAAGGGCTGGGAATGAGAGTGCCTTTTCTCACTATTATCCCCAGGAATTGACTGGTAAAAATTTTGCTTCTTGTCCCTGCTTATTTAGAGGTCTTAGTTCTAGACAGTGTAATGCTTCTACCAGGTGACACAATAATGATTCCATCCATCAGGAAGTTGATATTGCCACCTGGCCACTTTTAACTCCTCCTGCCACTGAAACAATAAAGAAAGCATTTCTTCTGGTCCTGACTATCAAGAAGAAATTGGGTTGCTGCTACACAATAAGGATAAGAAGGAGTATGTATGGAATGCAAGAGATCCCTAAGTGACCATTTAGTACTCTCAAGTCCTGCAATTAAAGTCAGTGAAAAACTACAACACAATGCAGGCAGAATTTCTAATGACTTAGGTTCTTCAGGAGTGAAGGTTTGGGTCAAGCCAACAGCAAGGAACCTTGACTAGTTGAGATGCTTGCTGAAGGCAAAGAGAACGTGCAATGGGTAGAGGATGGTAATTATAAATACTAGCTATGATCACATAACCAGTTACAGAAATGAGATTATGATAGTTCTAAGTATTAGTTTCTTATTTTGATGTTTGCATAAATAAATATGATGTTAACAAAATATTTTGTTTACTTTTCTCCCCTTATCCCCTTAACTAACAATATATATTGATAATAGTTAGTTTTTTTTATCTCAGTATTTAAGTTATAGGATATCAAAGGAGAGTATGAATCAGCCAGAGAAAGAATGAACATCACACAAGGACAAGAAAGCCTTTGTATCCTCTTTTGGGAAAAGGTGTTTGTTTTTGGTTGTCCACAGAATAGTTGTACCATGTAAGGCAGAAGCACGACCTTTTTCTTGATGTGAAGATTAAATATGGTTTAAGGAGGTGTATATCAGTGCCAGGTTGACATGGGGTGGACTGTTACGACAATAAAATATGTCAACTTGGCTAGGCTGAATTACATGTCTTTATGTGGTGACTGGATACCAAAGAGATGAAAATGGAAGCTGCCAGTCCTCTTATGCCTTGGCTGGGCGTCCCCAAACACCACTTCTTTCCAATGCAGTCTTTAGCTATTTTTCTGTCCCTTTTTCTGTCTCTTCACCTACTGAGACTCCCTTTACATGTATGTTGGAATGCCTGACATTGCCACCAGTCTTTGAGGCTCTGTTAAAATTTTTTCAATCTTTTTTCTCTGTTCTTTGTGGTGGGTGATTTCTACTGTGAACCCTGAGAAAGAAGACACCTACTAAGGATGGCTCCTGGTGGCTAACTGGTCTAATTTTTATTAAAACAAAACAAAACAAAAAACAACCAGAGCCTAGCAGCAATTTCTACCCAGGGTCCTCTTGCACAAACTGCACTTCAGGAAGCCTGTGCTGAACTGCCTGCCTATACTATGTTTCTGCTATGTAAGTCATCTCTTACAAAGGAGTTCCTGGAATCCTACATCAACCAATAGAACTGAAGCTCCCCGCCTCCCTCCACCCCCCTCCACCCCCCCCAAAAAAAATTAAAGCTGCACACCTCCAAACAACTAGGATGACTCTATTCTGACCAATCAGATAAGTGCGATCAGGTCAGTGCGTTTTTTGGAGCAATCAAAAGGACCAATCCTCCTTTTGGAGGATTTGGAGTCCTCATTTGCATCGTGACAGACCAATCAAGGACCAGGGGAGGGGCCTTTGGTCCCATAAACCAGCTCATCTGGCTCTAGGGATACACTTTCCCTTTCCACCAAAGATTGGAGAGTGCATCTTTCTCACTGATTTGAAACGCAAGATATCTTACAGCATAGTCTAGCTAAAGAGGCCTGGCCCCATGGCTTCCTCACAGCTGTGTTGTATCACGTTTGAGCTATTTTACACTGTATAAAGGTCTTCACCACACCCAAACTGAGGATTGCTGTTGGTGTTGAATTGGCGCAAACGACCACGAGTTAATGTGATGTGATCTATTTTCAAGATCACTGTTTTTCTCTTCTGCTTCTCCAGGATACCTTATACCATTCTCAGCTGATCAAAGTAGTGGTAGGTAAGCCTGAATTCAAGGTAGGGGGCATAAACTCCATTACTTGGCAAAGGATGACATGCAACTACAGGAAGAGAAGGTTTGGGGGGGCCCACTTTTTAGGCATCCTGCCATACATGAAGGGGGCCAATTAGGCAGCAATTCTCCGTCCCTAAAAAATCTCTGTGCCTGTTTCCCAAACCCCTGCCAGCACTAGGTGTGGATCAATTTCTTTTCTTTTTAAATGAGCCAATTTAAAATAGCCAGTTGTATAGTTCAGCAAAGGAAAAATAGTAGATGAAGGAACTATCAATCTTGATGATCTTGGGCTCTAACTTGTTACTATGCTTGCTTTTCTGTATGTTCGAGCATTTTACATTAAGTCTGAAAGCTGGAGGTCTGTCTGAGCAGTATTCCTAGCTTCCCACAAGATACCAGTGTCTTGCCCCTTCTGGGTACTTGGGTCATCCTGGAAGGCCCAGATGAAGCCATGGCCAGGTGAGTAAAAACACGCCCAGATGTGGGATACAAGTGTGTAGCCAAACCTTAGAATCATATTAAAACTAGTGAACTCCAGAGCGTTATTGGAGTGGGTATGAAGGACTTCTCCACATTCTTTGTCTTACACCATGGACCTCCACTCAGACCTTTTCCCTGACATCTGTACCTGAACTACGTGGACCGAGGGTACCAGCGCCCAGCGCGCGCAGGCGTAGGAAGAGGTCAACGACCCGTCCCCGTCAGCTTGAAGACCCGTCTGGTCCCGCCCCATGCCCCGAGAGCACTCCGAGCCTGCCCAATCCCAACGCCCAGCGGCAACCAGCCCGAACTGCGCTCCCCGGTCCTCACGCGAGGACCCTGCCAGGTTGTCCGCAGCCGCGCCGGTCTTTTTCCACCCTGGTGCAGGTCCACAGGGTCTCCCACTCGGGGCTGCGTAGCGGCACGGCCGTCTGGCCTCGGGAATTCAGTCGCGAGGAGCAGAGGTCCGCCGTGCTACGAGCCGCAGTTCCCGCAGGCGGTGGGGAGGGCTGCCTGGACGGGGCGCTGTTGGGGCTCCAACATGGCGGCGGCGGTTCGCGCTGCAGGCTTCCTCCCTGCGTGGTGCGGCACGCCAGTGGGTGAGAGTCGGCACGTGGGGCAGGGACTGTGAGTGGGGTGGGGGGCTCTCCCAGGCGGAGAAAAGCGGGAAGCCACGCTCGGACGCTCGGGCCCTCACGCCGAGCTCCGTCCTGTGCTGATCTGCTGGGTGACCTTGCGCGCTCCCAAGCCTTCTGTGAGTGCAAAGCGAGGGACGAGGTCAGTTCACCAGACCGCTCGCGCGTGCTCAGCAGAGAGGGTCCGGGAACCGCGTGCGAGCGTCGCCCTCCTGACGGGCGCGACCCACAGGTTCATTCGGTGCTGTCGACGTGGGGATTGAGGTGGGTGGCAGCCAGCAAAGCTTAAGAGAGCGGGGCCGTAATGCAGCTGGAGTCGGATAGGATTAGTGTCGGTCGTGTTAGATCCCGGGCTGGTCAGGGCCATTATTAAAAAGAGGGATGTTTTGAATGTTAGTAGTTTTGCTGTCGACCTCCTACCCCCATCCCTGTTGGCTGTTTGCAGGGTTCTTAATTTCTCCATATCCTCGCCGACATTTGTTGTCAGTGCTCTTGATTATAGCCATCTTAGTGAGTGTGAAGTGGTATCACTCTGATTTTGATCTGTATTTCTTTGATGGCTAACGAACACCGTTCCTTATTGCTTATTGGCCATTTGTTTATGGTCTTTAGAGAAATGTCTGCTTACGTAACTCTTTGCCCGTTTTAAAAGTGGGCTGTCTTTTTATTAGTGAAGTGTAAGAGTTCTTTATATTTTCCAGATGCAAGTTCCTTATCAGATACGTGATTTGCAAAAAATATATCCCATTTTGTATGTTTTTATATTCTCTTGGTATTGTCCTTTGATGAATAAAAGTTTTAAATTCATCAGAATCTGATTTTTTGTTTTTGTTGTTCATGCTATTTGTGCCATATCTAAGAAACCATTGCCAAATGCAAGGTCATGATGAGTTACCCTTACGTTTTTTTCTGAGTATTATAGTTTTTTCCCCTACCTTTAGGTCTTTGGTTTATTTTGAATTAATTTTTATGTATGATGTGAAGTAGGACTCTGACTTCATTCTTTTCCATGTGGATATTCACTTGTCTCAGCATCACATGTTGGAAAGGTTATTCTCTCCCCACAGATTTGCCTTAACACCCTTTTCAAAAGTCAGTTGCTGGCTAATGCTGTTAGAGCCTGTTGTGAAGCACTGAACTGGATGAAATGGTACTCAGGAGAGTTACAGCCTAGCACTCTGGAGGAGAGAAGGTAGCAGAGTGTTGGGGGAGCCCTGCTGCTTCACCAAGAGGTGCCTTTTCAGACCACAGAATATGTCAGGGACACAAAAGGATGCAAGAGCAGAGTATGTTTAAGACTGACTATGAGTCTGGTGTGGTCAAAGGGAGGGTGGAAGGAGTGTGGCTGATGTGGAAGGTGGGGACCAAGTTGCAGCCCCGTAGGCTATGCTGAGGAGTTTTGGCTTTGTTATGCAGACAGTAGGTGATATATTGTGGCTGAAGTGACCGGTGACTGCACTTGTTTTAGAAAGGCCTGCCTGGCAGCAGATGGTGAATTACAGGGGGACAGACCAGAAGCAGTAAGACCTAGTAGGGGATTGTTAATTACCATGTGGCTGAGGGGTGATGATGCCTGAACTAGGAAGGGGAAGTGAGATCATGGGAGGGTTCAGCTGACAGGTGGATTGATTTTTGAGGAGAATTTATAGGGCTTGGTAACTGGTTGGATGTGAGAATGAAGGAGATGTGATGTCACTTGGGCGAGTGGTCAAGGAGCCCAGAAATTACTCGTTTACTTGTCTTGGTTCTTTTATTCTATAGATATTAATATTAATGTTAACAGGGGTTTTACTGTTTTTGACATTCTTTTTCATGTCATAATGTATCTTAATTTTTTTTTTAATTTTACAGGTCATTTATGGTGCAGGCAGCTTTACATCAACACCTTTCCAATAGCTTCTACTTTGGTGTTGAAGACTGTTCTCAGTAATGGTGAGATTCATTTATCCAACTATCTTCTCTTATAAGCTCTAATGTAAGAGTACTTTATGTAATTTTTAGAAATGTAAATAAACAAAGCACATTCTTTATCATTGGAACGTGTAGGGTCTAAAGAATATTATTTATGATTACAGTTGTTATAGTGCAAGGCTTTAAAAATAGCTACAGTTGCTTCCTTTGTCTCTAACTTGTTTCCAAAGCCCCTACCTCTGACTTTCTAGATAAATTCTCTCTTACAGTTTGAAAACAAAAGTAGCTACAATATATTATCGAGTGCTTACTTTTAGGCTTAGGACATGTAATCTTGGGCAATTCTCACACAGGTGTTTATAAGGAAATTGTTACTGCCATTTTACAGATGACAAAGGAACAACACTGTGAGAGGCTAAGTGACTTGGACAAGGTCATACAGACGGTAAATGGCAGGGCTAGGCTCTGAGTTGTCTGGATGCTGTGATGTCTCTTCTCTGTCAGAGTTTTTGTAGAGGCCTCTGCTCTGGCACCGATGTAGTGCAGGGCTCTGTCTTCAGTCACTCTCCAGAAAGGGTAGAAGCTGAGTCTTGTTGAGCCCATGTTGTGCCTGTGGTCAGTTTAATCCTGCCTTTTCACGTGGGCTGTGAATTGAAATCTCATTGCATCCTTGAGTTTCTGGAACTCTGTGTGCTGGGCTTTTCTTTTAGCGTTATTCCCTTTCATTGTTAACTCCATCTGTCAAGATGCCTGTATACCTTGCTTGAGATGTCCAGCAGAGGAATCTGGTGGACCTGGGCTCTTCCCTTTATTTATTAATTTGTTGGTAATGTGATCCATTCATTCATAAACTACTTACTCTGCCCTTTACTGTGAGCCAGGCAGTGTCCCCAATCTGAACTGATGTGAGGAAGTCAGAAAGCAGCACCTTTGGCTGAGGGGTTAACCCTACAGAGGCCCTGAGTGCAGAAGAATGCTGACTGGCAGAATGATGGCACCGTTCTCTGATCCAGCACTTTCTACCTTTTCAAACAGGGGCAAATGTAATCCCTCAGACCCTCAGTTTCCATATCTATAAAATAGGGACAGTAGTCCCTGCTGTGAAGATTGTTGTATCATTTCTTAAAATACTGTATTTCTACAGAATACTAACAGGTTTATGTCCGGAAGCCAGGTTTCTCTTTCCTACTCCTTCCCCATCTTCCATCTTGTCAGATTCTTTCAGCTTTCTTCTGGTTATATTTCTAAATAAATTGTGCATATTGTTTTTGTCTCTATTAACATTTTTATGCTAATTTTTAGTCTTTATTTAACTTTATTGGGGTGGCATTGACTAATAAGATCACATAGGTTTCAAGTGTACATTTCTATGATACGTGATTTGTGTATTGCACTGGGTGCCCACCATCCAATGTTATGCTAATTGAAGAGGTCTTACACCTCCACCCCTGCTTTTTCCTAACATAGTTTTATGCACAATTTTGATGGACTCTGTGGATGTTTTCATTAAGATTATGTGTATATTATCATCACAGCTGAGCTCTAGTTAGTGTTCTGTCATTACATTAGAAATGTAAATAAAGCACATTATCATTGGAATGTGTAGGGTCTAAAGAATATTATTTATGATTACAGTTGTTACAGTTCAAGGCTTTTCTTCAACATTTTCTCCTGTAGTTAATAATTGCCTTGATTTTAAAAAGTTGCTCAGTTTTCTTTGTAGCTGTTGTGATGTTTGTGACAAATTGGTTAGAAACATAACCATAATTTTTCTAAAATCTCTTAAATGTTACTAGTTAACCAGTTTGATTTAATAGAAGAAGCCTAGTTAAAAGGAAGAAATTCTTCATGGTGAAAACTGTTGGGCAATAAAATGAGACCCTCAGGGATGCACTCTGTGCCTTTGAAGAGGTCCACCCATGGGGGCTTCTTGGGCTCGGCCCTCTGTGGACTCCGTGGTGCTTGTTTCCTGAGACGGGACGTCATAGTTTGAAATTAAAAAGAAGTCAAAGGATCAGAACAAAAGTGATCAATGACTGTCAGTGGATAATTATCTATAACTGAGCTTCAGAATGTGACTTAGGAGCTGCTGCTGTCTTCTGTTTTAAAAATCACAACACAATTTAAGTGAACTTAGTCGTAGTGATTATATGTGGAGAGGTTATTCCTAAACTCTTAAAATTAAATTTTTTCTAGTTTTGACAGTTGGACCTTTTTAAGGTAAATACATTATAAGCTGTGAATAGTATTTGTCTTTTGAAAAAAGATTAAGGAACTCTAAATTGGATGATAGTGATTTTTATTACACTTAAAGAATATCAAGTATATCAGATTTCAGTTCTAAATGGTGTAAGATGAAAATTCATGTCCAGTTGATATTTTGTTGTAGATTGAGGAGATTACAAGAAAAGCTAAAAATATGTCCAATAGAATGGGGTTTAGAATGATTATTTAAACCTAAATTTATTTAAAGTGAAAAGCCATTATTTTTCATTTACTTTTTATTGAGTAATTCATTAAGCCAACTACCTCACAGTATCACCTGAGCCAGCTTCCACCTTCATGCCATTGAGGAATTCATTTGGGAGTGAAACTGGTGTTTAAATCTCATCTACTAACTCACCTCATGACTTCTGGCAAATCCCTGACTGTGTAGGCCTAAGTTTCTTGTGAAACGAAGGGGTGGATGAAATGATTTTTAGTTATTGAAGGAGATTATTCCTTTATTTTTTCAATGTCTGTTCACAGGGGAGATATTTTGATAGTTTATTGCAGTTATAGTTTAAATTTTCCTCATATACTGAACCACATTCTTTTTTGCTGCCACGAAGATATTTCCGGTGTTTGGCCCTGTGTGGGATGAAGCAGTTGTTACCATATCCTTCTCTATAACTTTTCGGACTTGAGGATAGCTACTGTCATTCTCTGGCTGCCTGTTTGTCAAGCCCAGTACCCTTAAATAACCTTTTTTTCTCTACTTCCCTCGTAATCACTAGGTTCTCCACCAAAATGCAAAAGCTCAAGCATGTTTACTTTATCCAGTGAGTATTTCCATTTCCTGGCGTCCACTGATTCCTCTCACCCCTGTCATCTTCCTCACAGGACACCACTATCCATGGCATTGATGAAATACCTGCCTCTAAGACTTGGCTGTTTAAAAACACTTTTTAAAGTGATACATATATATTTAAAAAAATTCCCCCCAGACCCCCCCAGAACAGTCTCTCATCTCCAACCTTAAATGTATCTGTTTTCTTCCCCAGAGGCAACCACTGTTACCTTCTTGTATATGCTTCTAGAGTCAGCCTGTAAAATATATTCACACCCCACTCCTTATTTGTTAAACGAGAGTCTGGATGCTCTAAGCACTGTTCTGCACCTTGCTGGTCTAACCAGGTTTTTGCTTTCCACATGGGTCTTTCCCTCTGCAGGCAGCACACAGCAGGGGGCTCCATTCGCTGGGAGGAAATAGTGTCGTGCCTGGGGTCTTATCCTGCAGCATAGCAACCAGCTGTGTGGGCAGGTCTGCTTCTTTAGACAGCTCCAGCCATTGTGTGGATGAACTGTAACTTCTCTAACTAGAATGGCCCAAATTTTGGTTACCAGTCCAAAGTTTAGTTTTAGTTTTAAAGGAAACATTGTCTTCAAAATAGATTCTTAAAAGTTCAGGATTTTAGTGACTTATTTTTATTAAGAGTGATTAATTACTTGGTGCTGGCAATGCTTCTTCACACACATGGAGCATCTGACTCAAAGCTTTATTCCATCTACCTACAGGTCCTTTGTCGTCTCCAGGAACCAGAGACAGTTGTCCTTTCAGCCACTTGACCCGTGCGCTACAGACACAATGCTGGACTTCTTCTCCCAGCAATCCGATGTACCAGCAGTATAGATCCTATAGTTTCTTCACCAAATGTACGTAGACTGGCCACAAGCTTCCCATTTCATGAAACAGGAAAATAAAAGGTCCTTTTATATCTTAATATTTCTGATTTTTATTCTTCCTTAAATGAATGAACACTTTAGTCATTAGGATATGATGTACTATTACAATAATGTTTCTTCATGTACCCTGTGGAATGACCTCACATGCTACCAGTGGTAGTGTTTGTATTTTATTTTGGGGACCAGTGGTTGACTTTAATGGCCTTGTTTGGGGTATCCGAGGCTGATTTAGAGTCACACCAAGAATATATTCAGTCTGTTTTCAGTTGTGCTTTAGTTGAGGTAGGACATCATCTGTCTAATCAGGAACAGTTCATTTTAAGTAGACATTTTGTTAACACTACTCTGCCAACTTGTGGTAGAATTTGAAAGAGTCCAGTCTGAACTGAAGTAAACGGGGATTGAAGTTACAACTCAGCATCAGGCAAACTTTTAAAAACTAGAATTATAAAGCCAATTTATTTAAAACTATTTGATAAATACAGAAAATCAAAAAAAAAGCACATATAACCCTACTGCCCTGAAATCCTGGGTTTGCCATCTTTTCATGCAGCAGTGTATTAAATTTTTTTCCACGTTAGTTTATGGACTCCTACAGTGCAATGTTACAGTGGTTGAGTATTTCTCTGTGTGGGTCTAGTTCACTGTAATGTGGAGGTCTCTCATAACTAGGTCATTTGTGTAGCAGTTCAGGAAAGAGGACCAGGTGGTAGGGATATGACAAGTAGCATAGGCATCAGGGTGTCTGTGGACTTTAGTGCAAAGAGAACAGAGAGGTGGATGGGGTTGGAGTCTCCTGGTGCCCCAGCCCCAAGTGTTTCTAAGAGCTGACTTTGTTCTTTAGGGGCTACATCAGGCTCAGAGGCCTTGGTGATTTTTTAAAATACTCTTTGCCCTGCTCTAAAAGGCCTTTTCTCTAACTCCTCTTGTTTTAGGGGTACCTTTTGCCCCCTTAGACCCCATCCCTGCACTGTCCTCCCACCAGCTATGACTCTGCGTTGACCTATGTTCTTTCTTGGTTATGGTACCTTACGATTTTAGTGTTCCCAAGTTGTATTACCTTCAAGGGGATGGATTCAGTTGAAACTAGCAGGGGGCTAGTTTTTGCTGTTTCAGTAGGATATAATCTTTGATTTTCCAAATCTCCTCCAAGAAATAAAAAAAAACACACAAAACATTTTTCAAAATTCATTGATTTCCTAAGAATATTTAACGTTTTAGTTTACATAACTATGGTAGTTAATAGGAGTATATATATTACCCTACTTTTATACCCTTCCCAAAAAATGCCAGAAAGAGTTGAAATAATAAAAAAACTAGTCTAAATGGAATTTTAGGTTAATTAGAATCTTAAACCAGTATGTCCTAATATTAAAATAATAAAATCTTTGTCAAAACAATCTAATTCAACTTACAGCCATTTAAAAATTATGTTCATGCCCTCACTGTGTGGCTCAGTTTGTTGGAGAATTGTCTCATACACAGAAGGTTGCAGGTTTGATTCCTGGTCAGACCACGTACCTAGGTACCTAGATTGAGCATTTGATCCTCAGTTGGATTGCATACAGGAGGCAACCAATTGATGTTTCTCTCTCCCCCCACAACTCTTTCTCTCTCAAAAAAAATATCCTCAGGTGAGGATTTAAAAGTCTTTTTAAATTGTGTTCATGAATAATATTGAGAATATAAGATAAGATAAGTAAAAATACAGGATACAAAATTGTATATATGTTATAATTTCAATTTTCTCTAAAACAAAAATGTATACATTTATGTATGCATACATGAATAAAGAAAAAGGTAGAATTTGTATTCTAATCTAACAGTGATAGGACTATGAATTGTTTTTTATATTTTTCATACTGCCTATATTTTCAAGATTTAAAAAATGACTGTTATAATCTTAAACACGATTAAAACCATTTTAAATAGATTGATGCTATTTAAAAGTTGACATATGACTTGTCTTTTTCCAGTGTACTTAGAAATTTTATTTTCCCCTAATGTAAAAACAAAATGAACTAAACTCTTTAGTTTTCTACATTTTTGTCTAAATACCAACTTCTTATTAACATAGAGTGACTTATTCTGATTCCAAGCAATGAAAAGCTCTGTAATCAGTTGGCCTCTTAATATGACCCCATTAGAAATGTTCTCATTGTGAACTTCTAGGTTTGGATGGCATTTGTAGGTACTATAATTTTTAAGCAGTCAGGAAAGAAAATCAGATCTTTAGAGTTTAGTCTGAGGTTGGTAACTTTTTTTAAAGATTTTTAAGAACTAGAAGGTTTATCTTTAGAGAGATGGGAAAGGAGGGAGAAAGAGAGGGAAACATCCATGTGTGAGAGAATCAGCAATAGGTTGCCTCTGGCACGCCCCCAGCCAGGACCTGCCCCGCAGCCCAGGCATGTGCCCTAGCCTATAATCAAACCTGTGACCTTTCTGTTTGTAGGATGATGCCCAGCCCACTGAGCCATTCCAGACAGAGCTGCAGTTGGTCATTTTATTTTGAACCTGTGGTTCTTATAAGTGAATTACCATTACCCTAAAGTTTGAGCTCAACCTAAACTCTGTGCTCTTATCACGGATATACAAAGCAGCATGTGACGTGAAGTTACGACCTTCAGTTATGAAGATCAGCTGTAATATTATGTGTGCGTTTTGAAAAATGGTATACTGTGCAGGTGAAAGCATTTAACAGTATTATAAATCCAAAACACTTTTCCCTTTACATGTTGTCTACCTTGAGGGTCAAGGTAAGGCCTTTCACAAAGCAAGCAGGTAGAACTTTTAAACGGTTAGGGCCCTTAAGAGAAAAGGAATGAAGATGCTCACTTGTCTTCTAGAATATGTTTAGTACTTCAAGCATGCAGCTATCTGTAGCTTAGATTTTTTACTAGTACTACATTCGTGTGGCTCTTGATTCTTTATTAAATAAATTGATAATGTAACAATCTATGGCTGTACAGTCATTTGGTGATACCATGAAATGCTGGAAATCCTTAGGAAGAGAGAATTTAAATGTAATAAATGGTGTAGCTACACCAGTAAAATTCAGAAGTAAAGAACATTCCTATGGCCTGGCCTGGAATATTCCATAAGCACAAAGAGGAAAATACTGATTGCAATGGATGGTAGGATAAGATGTTGGGATCCTAGAGATTCACAAGTGAAAATAAATCAGCAGCGTCAGGGTCTATGCATAAGTAAAAGACAAGTGTGATTTTTTTTTATCCTTGCTAAGAATATGTTTATTGATTTTTGGGGAGAGAGGAAGATGAGGGGGAGAGAGAGAAACATTGATGTGAGAGAGAAACCGGTCATTTGCCTCCTGTGTGTGCCCTAATTGGAGATCAAACCCACAACTTTGTTAGGTATACCCTGGCCAGAAATCGAACTGGCAACCTTTCAGTGTGTGAGACAACTCTCCAACCAACTGAGCCATCTGGCCAGGGCAAGGCATGCATGATTTAAGAAAGATGCAGAAAGATGCACACTCACATGCAAGTATTAACTACCAGACTAATATTCACTCATCCTTTCCTGTGGATTGATTAGACTTTAATCAGAGTTGAAGGTGAATTTGGGCATTTGATTTTGAAGGATACACAGAGACGTTTAAGGCATTCACAGAAGAGTAGAGCAAAAAAAACCAAATTATTAACATTTTTTTGTTTAGATTGACATTAATTCTTATTTGGGCTAAAAAACCTTATGTAAAAAGGATAGTTATTGATTATCTCAATGGTTATAATGGAGGCAAGAGGGCAGGGAAGAGACCTGTAACATGGTTGATTAAATGTCTGGGAAACAAATCTGGTGAGTGGGGGGTGTGTGTGTGTGTGTGTGTGTGTGTGTGTGTGTGTGTTTGTTTTATGAGTGAAATTTAAATGTCTGTCTTTTGTGGAGGAGGGCCCTATTTGAAAGTGGCAGGATTACTTCCTCTTGGGCTTTCCAAATGTAACCATGTGATAATATGCAAAGAATGATATAATGTTGCTTTCATTGCTGCAATGTTGCAAGGGAAGCTGGGTTCTGGCTTTTTTAAATTCAATGGGAGACCATGGATCATTGCCAAAAAGTTTTGAGACATAAATAAAAACCTGTTTTATTACAGTGACAGCCGATGAGTTGTGGAAAGGTGCTTTAGCAGAGACTGGTGCTGGAGCAAGAAAAGGAAGAGGCAAGAGAACTAAGAAAAAGAGAAGAAAGGATTTGAACAGGGGTCAGATCATCGGTGAAGGTAAACTCACTTATTTAGAAAACAGTTGATGTACTCCATGCTCCCCCGCCCAATTTTATAGATCATTTTACAGTCTAGAAGCATTAAAACACTTCTCTTGAAGGGCATTAGAATCTGCTACTTACTTATTGCTCCAGGGTTCTGGGGGAGAAAAATTTCATAGAAAGGGATTCATTCATTCATTCATTCATTCAGTAAGCCTTCAGTGCCAGTGTGCCATCTGCTTTCACAGTTCCCTTCTTCAGGTAATGATTCAGGGTAAAAAGTGGAATAAATGGAGAGTTGGCAAGCTGTCTCTGCAAAGGACTAATAAATAGTTTCAGCTTTGTGAACCACATGGTCTCTGTTACAACCATTGAACTCTGCTGTGGGGCACAGAAACAGTCATTGACAATACATAGCTTGTTCGTTCCAATAAAACTTTTAAGTGGTAGACTGGATTTGGCCCATGGCCCATAGTTTGCCAACCCCAGGATCACATGATTGTTTATTTTTGTGTTTTATGAAGAATAAAAATAATATGGTGTTCTTGAATTGCCATTTTGTACTGTGGTTGTCAACAAATTATGGTTGATAGTCATAGTCTTTTAGGCATGAAAAAAACACCTTCACTGTTCTAGTTACTCATGTCCACTTGGATGTTTTTTTCTGACTTGGCTTGTATTTTATTTTTTTATAACATTTAAAAAATTATAACTGTCATACATGTATACTTCTCAGTAAAAAATCAGACTCTAGAAGAAACCTAAGTCCTCCTGGTGCCCTTTCAATGCCTGGGTGCCCTTTTCCAGCTGCTACCCCCAAGGAAACCACTGATGGCATTTTGGTGTGTTTCCTTTTGACATTTTTTTAATGCTTTTATATACCTGAAAACTCTAAAGGAAAAAAAATATATATATATATTCTTTTAAAAATAGTTAAATTATATCATGTGCTACACACTGTTCTATAATTTACCTTTTTCACTCAGTAAGAGGTCTTGGAAATTGTTCCACATCAGAACCTACAGAACGAACTCATTATTTCAGTTTAGTGCAGAAGATTTCACAGGTTGGAAATGCCATGGTGCATTTCACCCACTCCATTAGTGCTAGACATACAGCACATTGTTTCCATGTTTTGCCTTTACAAATACCACTTCAGTGGACGTCCTTGTCCAGGCACACATAGGCCTCCTACCTCTGTGGGGTATTTCTTTACACAACACTATGAAGTGAGATTAATAGCTGTAAAGGTAGGTGAAAATTTTTATAGATGTGCCAGGTGTGGCCTGCCCAGTGATTATGGCAGTTTAAGCACCTGTAAGCAATGTCACCAGTACACCCATTGCCTGGCATTTTAACACTTAAGAAATGAATGCTTAAAAAATTTGTTTTATTCATGTATGTTTTTAAACCTTCAGGGCGTAGTGGCTTCCTATGGCCTGGTCTGAATGTCCCTCTTATGAGGGATGGAGCTGTGCAGACCATTGGCCAAAGAAGCAAAGAAGAGCAGGAGAAGGTAGAAGCTGACATGATCCAGCAGAGAGAAGAGTGGGACCGGAAGAGGAAGATGAAGGTTAAGCGGGAGCGAGGCTGGAGTGGAAACTCGTGGGGAGGTGTCAGTCTTGGCCCCCCCGACCCTGGTCCCAATGGAGGTAGCAGAGTCCTGGTTTTGCTTACCTTTGTGAGAGAGTACTTGCAGTTCTAGAATTCCTTAATATGGTTTTATTTACTTACCTGTTGAGATTTTTTTTCTAAAACGGGATTTGAACATCATTGAAATAATTGTATATTATTACCTGCTGTATTTTATGGAACATTAGAGGTCTGTAACCAAGAAGTATCCCACAAACAGGATGCAAAGCCCTGGGTTCCAACATTGTTATTGTGTGGTTCTCAGAGCCGTAAATATGGTGGTGTGCGATGGAGCAGCATGGCGAAGGAGCCGTTTCCATAACAGAGGGTGAACCAGATAGTTGTGGTTAAGCCTCATAAAAGCACACATGAAAGAAAAGTTGGTAACACTTATCAGGCCAAATTAGAAAACAAAGTCCTCCTCACTCCCCCACCCCCGTGTAAGCAGAGAAGTAAAAGTCATCTCACATTCATTCTTGAGGTGGAGATGAAGAAATAGATAGGAATGTGGCAGCTTTCTTAAGTTTAACTTAGAAGAGCAGAGGTTGAGATGCAGAGACTGGGGAACATGCTTAGAGCTGAATAAAATGCTTCAGAGGGGAGGAGAAAGATACGGGGGAGACAGGAGGAAACAATCACCTAAGTCCCTAATGGGGGCCCAGATTGAGAGCAGAGAGAAGTGGGTCAACGCGTGACAGATTCAGGTGAGCCAGTGGTGTTAGTAGTGGAAATGTGTGTGGGACAGGCTGTGTGAAAGATGTCTGTCTGGTGGCTTCGATTAGACTGTGAGGAGGAGGGGCCCTGCTGAAGGGAGGCTGGGGCACTGATGAGTGTAGTCATCGAGTATTTTGATGAAACATTGGGCATTTGGGACTGGCTTCCAGTGGGGTGGGAACTGAACAATTTAGAAGAAAGAAGACTGACCATGAGTTGGTGCTTCTTGAAGCTGACTAATGGGTACATAAGCTGTCATTCTGCTATTCTACTTCTGTAAATGATTGAAATTTTCTATAGTAGAAAGGTAAAAGAACAGTATTTGAGGCTGTGTGGTGAGTGGAGAGAGGCCTAAGGGGACACAAAAGGCTGACAGGTGGCAGAGAGCCCTTCAGTTAGAGACTAAATGTTTAGGGGCTCCTCTGTGTACTATGCTTTGACTTCTCTCCAGCAGCACTCAGCAGGCCAGGTGTGGCCAGACAGCTGCATTGATTCAGGCCTGGACAGTATGGTGGAGAGAAGAGGGTGAGGCAATTGAGGATGGTCACAAGATCTGGTGGAAACGATGGACTGTGGGGTGTTGGCTGCGTGGGAGAGGCTGTGAAGACTAGAGAGGGTGAGAGGGAAAGGAAAACAGTGGTTAAGAGTCTGAAGGTGCTGGGGAGCTCCAAGAGCCATCGTCTGGGGAGTCACAGAGTGAGAAAGCTGGAGGAGTAGGAGGATGCAGTCAGGGAGGTGGTGGCTCCGTTTATGAATTGAATGGTGGAGCGGTCTGGTGATGGAGGACCCGGGCGAGTCCTGGGAAGTAGAACCAAAAGAGCCGAGTTCTTTCTCACGTAACTTCAGAGATCATGTCTGTGTTAAAAATGTTTTTGTTACTGATTGTATAGACACATATCTGTATGCTTCTTTCTTTTCTTTCTACAGAAACATATGATGATTTTGATACCAGGATACTGGAGGTAGGCATGCTGAATTTAGTACCCAGTTAGGCCTTTGGAGAAGTTGGGCAAGTTGGGGCAGGTAGAGTGGAGATAGGGCAAGGCTACTGTGAGGAAAAGCCTTGATGTGTGATTTTTTTTCAGACACAGAGCTGATTTGGGTAAGAAAATAATGAAACGAGTTTTAGTCACTTGGTACTGATTCTCCTCTGACTGTTGCCCTTTTGTGAGGGCTACCAGTTGAGACCTTCTGAGAGGCAGCTTTGGTGATGCTGATAACATTTAGATTTCCCTCCTTCCTTAAGGTAAAGTAGCATTAGCATTCTTGTCCTTGAATTATGAACCAGCTGTATCTGGCATCAGTTCAGGGACCAGAGACTGTAGGAGCCATGGGACAGGGGTGGAAAGTGTGGAGCTGCTGTGAATATATTGCTCCTGATGGGAAATCACCCAGCAGCCCTTGGAGACTGAAGCCTGTATCAGGTAAATTTCAGCCACTTTCCAGGGCAGTCCCTGAAATAGGCATCTTCCCTTAGAGCTGGTGCTGCAGGCTTGGTCATTGTTGACTGCCGTATGGAGTAATCATTTACTGAGTTTGCGATTATATATATTGTTTCTTCAATACCAGTTGTGTTACAGAAGTTAAAATGTGTTTACAGCTATTTTGTATGTTTGGGCCCTAGTGTATATGTTTTGAAAATTAATTCCCTTGAAGAATTCTTGCATATATGGGTGATTTCCTGCAAGGTGATCCACAGGAGTGGACTCCAGCTCCCTTTTCCTTTAACGTCATTTTATGGGAAAGGGGCTGCTATGTAAGCAGTTTAGTTAACACTTTCATGGCTCCTGGCTTTTTATATATACACCCCCAAAAAGCAGGTTTTCCTGTAGTTCATAATAAGCAGGTATTTCCACATTTTTTCTGTTTTCAGGTGAGCCTAATCCTTAGTGTAGAGATCCAGATTTATGCTAATGTACTGTATTCTTTCTGAATACTCATTTTTTTCCATATTTCAACATCTCTGGTATTGGATGTATCTTATAGCCACCAGCTATAAATTATGTCAAAGTTTAATCAGTAACTTTTTCCTTTGTATATACATTGGTTAAAATGGGGTACACTGAGTTGTGTGGTTTCAAACACCTTTAAGTTACCTCAGTTGAATTGCTATAACCCTGAGAAACAGGAAGAGAGCGTCTTATTTCCATTTCACTCCTGAAGGAATAGTCTAGGGAGAGGGGTCCTGTGGAGGAAGTGTGTGCTTGTGCTTGTGGTCAGAGATGGCGTGTCTCTGTTCACCATGGGTGTGTGTGTGTGTGTGTGTGCGCGCACATGCACATGTAAGGAGGCCACTCCAGTTCCCCACTTCAGAATTTTCTTAAGGTGTAATATTTATGAAACATTTTATCTTTTAGGTACGAAATGTTTTCAATATGACAGCAAAAGAGGGAAGAAAGAAATCAGTCCGTGTCCTGGTGGTTGCGGGGAATGGCAGAGGAGCTGCAGGTGAATGGGCTCTGGGGACGCAGGCGGTGCTGGTGGCGGAGGCGCAGGGATAGGTGTGGCCTGTGCTTGGCTGAGTCCTTGGGCTCATGCTGCTGGTCACACTTTTTCTACTGATGAATGAAATATTTTAGGGTTCGAGCTCACAAACCTTGTGGTCAACCCATGAAATCCCTTGGGAAAGAAAACAGATCTTCCCACATCTATCTGCCTTTTTCTGTGAGGACCAGTGGATGTTTTAAAAGGCTTAAGAAAAGACTTGGGAGTAAGGATATACTTCAAAAAGGTTAATAAGATTTACTTTAATTCATAGGTTTGCCACTCATTTAAATTTTCTTTATACTTTTCTGTAGGTTTTCATAGTGAATATCTGTTTTTGAAGTGTACCTGATTGTGTAAGGGAAAGGAAACTGCCTATTAAACCACATTGACACTTTATAACAAGTCATACATATGGATAGTATGTTGCCAAAGGAGGTCAATCTTAACAGTTATTTTTGTATCTTTCCAGAAATTATTTATATATCTTTCTATAAAAATTTACACAAAGGGATCATAGTATATCCATAATTTTGTACCTTTTCTCACTTTGCATTACCCAAAGGTCTTGCTCTATGAGCATAAGTAGATGCCCCTCATTCTTTGTGCTGATTGCATAGTATCCCATTGTATGAGTAAATTTATTTTTTGTTACTTTTTCTCTGTTTATGAATATTTGTTGTTTCAAATTTTGTAGCATTTATTTAAAAGTACAGCTTATTGTATATGTAATTTGTTGTACTTTGGCAAGAATGTCAATAGAGGAAACTTCTTGCACTGAAATCACTGCCTTCAAGTCATGTGCACTTAGAACATCGACAAAATACTGCCAGAACCCTCCCAAAAGGTTGTACCAATTCATGTCCACCCGAACCCTCACACCCTTGCCCCCCTGGATGAAGTCAAACTACTGGTTGTCAGTGTCATAGTGAAACCTATCTCTTTATTTTGATTTGCACTTCCTTAACTGTGAGAGTTTGCACACCATTTTACATGTTTATTGCTGTTATTGAGATCTGTCAGTTCATTTGCTTTGCCCATTTTTCTGTTGGGTGAATGTTCTTATTGAGGACATGGCTCTTTGTAAGGTAAAGGCATTGGCCCTTTGCTATCATATATTTTGATTGAGTTTTTTTTTTTCCACACTTAAGTTTAAAATTCACAGAAGTTTTTTAAATCTTTACATAGCAAGTTTATCAATCTTTTTACTTTTAGTTTTGTGTTTGCTTTTCTGGTTTTATGCTTAGAAAAGCTTCATCTGAAGGTTGAAAACATTCACTCATGTTTTCCTCTTGGATTTTGAGGTTTAATTTGTGTTTTAACTAGAAATTAGACTCCTTTTATCCCAAGTACTCAGGGGTCTTTTATCTCTCATGGAGCAATATTGTCTTATGTTACTTCCCTGTGTATAACTTTCAGATACATTCTTCAGAATAAATAATGGTGACAGCAAACAGTGGAGGTGTCTCTGGTAGCTTGTGACAAATCTTACTTTAAGGGGCCAAGCACTCTCATAGGAGTCACTGATTGTATCTCCCGGTTCATTGAAATCTGTGTTGTATTGGGAAGTTCTAGTGAAATCATACTTTTACTCTGTATCAATGTATGTTTTCCCAACCTTTCTGGTTATTTTCAAAAATATTCAAAACCGCGTGCCTTATTAATTTAGGGCATGGTTAGGTTTTGTTGTTTTATGTTTTTGTGGTATATGTAGTTTTATGTAGAGATTTATAAAAGGGTAATGTTAAAGATTTCATAGATAATCAGATGTACTACTTCCAAAATGCCCCAAAACAGATAAGCAAATCTCTGTAGCTTCATGCTTTGCCATTTGTTTTGAATAGCAGGTGTTCTGTGGGCAGAAGAAAAATGAAGTGCCGTGAAATATTGTGGAAGCTGAAACTTGAAATGTGATGAGAGCCATGATGTACCAAATGTATGCCCCTTTTCATAGTTTGGCTTTTTCTTTTAAAGGTTTTGCTGTTGGGAAAGCCACTGAACGGTCAGACGCCTTCAGGAAAGTACGTGCATTTTTTGTTTGTTGACAGTGAGAGAACAGCAGGCTCGGTGTGGGACACCATGGGGACCACACACAAAGATAAAATAGGAACCCTCCCCTGAGGCTATCTGTCCGAGTTTCCTTCCCTCACAAATAGCAGTTTCTGAAATGCCTGTGTTCTTTGGCATCCCTTTCATCAGACTTGTGATCATTACCAAAATTGTGAGACGGCTTGGAGAGTGTCTCACAGTAACAGAATGTTTGAGGACACCAAGGAATTATTGTTAACTTTTTGAGATGTGATAATGATATTAAGATTTCTTTTATTAAACCGTTAGCTTTTAGAAGTGTATACTGAAATTTGTTGTGTATGTTTGAAATTTTTCATAATAAAATATTCAGTGAAAGGTCTTTTTTGAAATCTCTGAGAAAATGTAAATTTCAACAGTAGATTTAAGAAAAATATTTTTCTTCTTTCAGGCGAAGAACAGAGCCATTCACTATTTGCATTATATAGAACGATATGAAGACCATACAAGTGAGTGTTAATTGTTTCTTTTAAAATTTGCAGGGTTGTACTTGCTCATTATGTGTGGCAGCATCTTTGTGGTAGCTTCATTTTTCTCTGTTTGTTGTTAGGTTCTGACGATATACATATAGAATGTAGAAACATTTTCTTTCCTGAGAAGGTGGTGATGAGTGAAATCAAACTTTGTCATTTATCCTTGGTCACTGGGTGTTGGCTGCTTAGGTTCTTACTAGTTGCTCTGTGGTGTTTGCAGGGTCATTAAAGCTGTATACCTAATTCTGCTCCTCTCTGTGTTTTGACTCTCCAGTATTCCATGACATCTCTTTAACATTTAAAAGGACACATATCAAGATGAAGAAGCAACCCAGAGGTAACTAAAAAACGCGTAACTTTTTGAAGATAAAGCAGAGCAGTTATAGTGGTTCTGTTATGTCCTTTCATTTGCTCCCTTTTACTTGAACTCATTTTTGAAAATGCCGAATGGAAAGGCCTAAGTTAGATTTTAAGAAGGCTGAATGATTTTTATACCTAAGTGGTTTTTGAAAGACTGCCCCAATTTTAATTTAATTGTAGAAGTTACCATTTTTAGCCTTCCCTGTCTCCTAATTCATGCTGTATTTTTCAGGTTTCTATTGAATATATAGTTTAACCTACTACTTGTTCATTGGGGCTAAATATTCTGATTTTGAAGCTAAAATGGTATGATATTATAGACAGCTTTTCCTAAAGTGTGTTCCTGTGCATCACTATTTCCATGAGAAGATATTAATAGGTGTTACTTCAAAAAGAGCCCCAAGTAGGAAAACTGGATAAAGGAAAGTCAAAAAATGTTTGTGTATCTTTGTGAGTATCGCAGTCTTTAATGCACTGCTGTGCAATGTGCGTCTCCCAGAGGTGGGTCAAGAGTGCAGCATTTCCAAGCTTACTTAACCGTGGAACACTTCTGTCTGCAAGATAGGACTGAATTCCTCACCCAGCACTACAAAGCATTTCCCATACAACACACACACACACACACGAATTTAGCTTATATTAAATGTTTTTTACATAATCCCTACCTGGAAGCCTTCACAATCAAAGTCCATATAGTAAGCGCTCATATAACGTTGGTAATGTTCTGCAAAGCAATGGCTACTGTTGGTAGAGTGTCGTGTGTGGTCCAGGGGCTGGGCAGCGTACATGCCTTCCCTTGAGTGCTTCCCATTCTACCTGGGTCATCCCACAAGCAGTGGCAGGGCAGGGTCTGCTTCTGAGGCCCTCCGGACAGCTGCCTTGCACTCTTTTGCATGTGCACCTCTCCAGGGGCGTGTGCATCTACACACACCAGTATGTGTATGCACTGTTCACGCACAGACACATGTTGTGTGTGTATAACTCCACACAGGACAACAAACTACCCCCCATTGTTAACCTGTCTTTAGTCACCCTCTAAAGCCCTCTGTTCTCAAATGATCTGGTATAGCCGTGGAGTCCACAATTATTTTTCTCTTTGAAATAGGAAGGACAGTTCTAGGTAAGAATATGTTATGTACTTGTATCCAAATACAGTTTTTACATGCGTATATTGAATCACCAAGAAAAGTACTAAGCCTTAAAGTGAGTGGGGAAGTTGCTGAGTTTCATGTCTGTCTAATGCAAATGTTAGCATCTAAACTTGAGGCTCTTTTCTCTCACTGCCACCTGCATTTGCCAGGTACTGATCTCAGCTCCAGGGGCAGAGCAGTAAACGAACCATATCCGGCTCTCATGGAGCCCACGTTCTACTGAGAGGAACATCGGATAGACAGGTTCTGCTGAGGGCCTGAAACAGCAGTCAGGATGCTGGTGTGGGGGGATCCTGGCCTTGGGGAAGGAAGGGCGACACCTTCAATCTTGTGGTGAAAGGCCTCTCTGAGGAGGAGGTATTTGAGTGAGACTTGAAAGTGAGAAGCAGCCGGAAAGAGAGAACAGGCAGGGAAACACCGTGTGCAGAGTCCCCGAGGTGGAGGCAGAAGGGCAGAGTCTCTGTGTGGGGGCCGTGAGATGTCAGATCATAGAAGGCTTTGTGGGGTGGAGTTCTTTATTTTTATTTCATTTTATTTTACTTTGATTCAGAGAACCATGGGAAGTGAGTGCTTGAAAGGGGAAGTGATGTGTTTGGTTTGTGTTTTTAAAGCTCTTCCTGGAGAAGGTATTAGTGGACATGATAGGGCATGTGGCTGGAGGGAAGGCCAGCCAGCGGGTGAGAAGGGATGGGCCAGGTGAACACTGGGGGAGAGTGTTAGCAAAGCCGAAAGGGTCTCCAGGAGGGGAAAGTGGATGTCTCTGCTCAGTGCAACCAAGCAGTCACGGGCGACAGAGGATGTGTCCCTGGATCCTTAGTTCTTAGCAGGGTGCCAAAGACTTTTAGGCAGCTCAGTTAATCTTGATACCAACTTTGTTCTTTTTTTTTTTTTTTGGCCCATGTGCTCAAGAAATCTATATAATTTCTTAAATCTGAATAACATTTCATTTAAGTAAGATAGGGGTCTTCAGGGAAATCAAGTAAGTTGCCAAGGGTCACCCAGCTGGGAAGTGATGAAGCCAGACTGTGACCCAGAGTCTCCTAAACCCAGAGCCCTAGGAAAGCCAGCAGAGTGACCCTGACTTTTCCCTTTTCTAGGCTATGGACTCCGCTGTCACCGAGCCATCATCACCATCTGCCGTCTCATTGGCATCAAAGACATGTACGCCAAGGTCTCGGGGTCCCTCAACATGCTCAACCTCACCCGGGGCCTCTTCCATGGACTCTCTCGCCAGGTAACCCTGCCTGGGTCTGAAACAAGTTGTGGCTTGCATTTCATTGGTGCGCATGGAGACCACCATGTCCTGGGGCTGCCTAAGGACGCAGGAGTTCTTTGCTCTCTAATTAGGTGGTTAATGCAGGTGAAGAGTTAATTCATGAAGATTGACCTTTTAAAAAATACTTCATGGAATTTTTGAATTTTCAGAATTAAGTATTTTTTAGAGATAGTAATTACAGTCTGTATTTTACTATGAAAAGAATGCATGCTTGTTCTAAATCTCCAACAATTGAGAAATTAAAATAAAAAGCAAATTTATTTCCTAATTTAATCCTTTCTGTTTGGACTGGGGTGAAGCCCCTCAGACCCCTCTCTCCTCCTGAGAGCTGTCTTCAGTACAAGCAGTTCACAGTACCTGCATAGGGCGTTCAGACAGATACCTGAGTTAGGAACCGTGAGTGCTAATATGCCAGGTTATTTCTCCACACAGATGGGAGCCCTGGGCTACTGCCCATCTGCCCTGTTAGCCTGGGTGGGCTCACGGCTACTCTGTCCCAGTGGACAGGAAGGGCTGACTGTCCCTTGAAAGGAGGGGCAGGTCTTCACAGAGCTGGAGGAGCAGGAGAGATAACCGGGTTCAAGAGAATCCTTTTTCTGACCTCTGTTTATTGAGGATTTTGACAGGCTTCCTGACACTTAGAGAGTTTAATGGCTGTTTTTGAGTAGAGTGACCTATGGGATAATTGTAGCTCTGTTTAAAATAGGAAAATTAATTAAAAGAAAAAGCTCTGTGTAAAAAGATCCTTTTTTGGACAGTTGTGTGTGTGTGGTTGCTATCCCGAACATACTTTAAATGTACGTACTTCTAAATTTAACTTAATTGTTAGAGGCTTGTTTAATGTAGCTAAGATTGGTTTTAGATAGATTATATCTATAATCAAGTATCCTTGTTCAGTTATGTGATATTTTTGTTTTATGTTAGTACTTTGAATCTTCTAATATAATTACTATGTATCATGCAAACCACTTCAAATGCCATCAGCTATAAAAAAGTTGCATTATTTAATGTGCTACTCCAGAAAAAAATGCCACCAATTTAAGTAACATGCACTGGTTTTTATGGAACAACTCACTTCTTGTCTAAACCTGTATAGACTTGGAATATTGCAAGGTGGACAGAGTCTGGAAACATGACATTGAACATACCAGGTATTTTAATAAGCCATCTGCTAAATGTATTTGCCTGTTTCCAGACTTTGTGCCTACTTCCCTCCCATTATGAGCCCCCGGCACTCCTGTGCGCCGTCAGCAGGGGGCAGCAGCCTGTGGTCAGTATTGTTTCTCAGCACCACCCCCACCCAGGTATAGTTATTTTGAACCAGATCTCAGACATCTTTGTATTTCATCCATAAATACGTATCTCTGAGAGAGAAGGATTTGAAAACACCCCACAATACTATTTATTTTTTTACCTAAAGAATTAACAGGAATTTAGTATTATCACATATCGCATCAGTGTTTGTAGAAATGTCCATTTGTTAGATTAAAAAAATTATGCTATTTGAATCAGATTGCAGATAGGTCAGTACATTGTAAGTTTTTGCTATGTGTTAAGTCACTGATGCATAGGGTCCTCTCTTTTTTCTTGCATTTGTTTTGTTGAAGAAACCAGGTAGTTTGTCTTGGGGTTTCCCGGTCTGTTGCTGACAACATATCTGTGGATCCTTCACATCTTCTTTGTGTCCTGTGAAATGGGAGCTAGACTGGGCTTGATGAGGTTCCGGTTGATTTTGGGTACAACCTGGCACATAATTGGGAGGCTTGGAAGGCCAGAAACCAGAGGCCAAGGCCCTATTTCCATCCCAGTTGGGGGTGGAGAGGCAGGGCCGAGATGATTCCACCTATAGCAGGTCACCCCAGAATCAACCGAAAGGGTATTTAACTCCCTTAAGTGGTACAGTGCTGTTACTCCTGACTTTTTCCTGGCTGAAGGCAGATCCTGCTCTGTGAATACAGTTGTGCCTCAGAGACCTAACTGCTGTTCTCCATTCGGTCTTGCCCAGGAAACCCACCAGCAGCTGGCTGATAAGAAGAGTCTCCACGTTGTGGAGTTCCGGGAAGAATGTGGCCCTCTGCCCATCGTGGTCGCCTCGCCCCAGGGGGCCTTGAGAAAGGATCCAGAGCCAGAAGATGAGGTTTCAGACATCAAACTGGACTGGGAGGAGGTGAGGGCAGCGCAGGGGATGAAGCGCTCTGTGTGGTCGAACGTAAAGAGAGGTGCCACCTGAACTTCCCTCGGCCTCACCAACCACAGTGTCAGTCAGCTCAGCACCTGGAGGAGACTCACTCTCATACCTTGAAAGAAGAACGGGCTTTGTTGTTTTTAAGGAAGGACCAACTTGAACTTATTTACCAACAATAAATAATGACAACTTTATTTTTTTAAGGATTTTATTTATTTTTAGAGAGGGGAAGGGAGGGAGAAAGAGAGGGAGAGAAACATCAATATGTGGTTGCCTCTTGAGCACCCCCTACCATGGACCTGACCCACAACCCAGGCATGTGCCCTGACTGGGAATCAAACTGATGACCTTTTGGTTTGCAGTCCTGCACTCAATTCACTCAGCCACACAAGCCAGTGTGCTTTATTTCTTTATTTTTTTTAATTAAAGAAAAGTTTTTATTTTTCTAGCTCTCTTTTTTTTTTTTATTGTTCAACGACAGTTGTCCCCATTTTTCCCCCATTACTCTCCCCTGTCCTACCTACACCCTTCCTCTCACTTTCAATCTTCCCCTCACTTCCGCTGTTGTCTTTGTCTGTTGGTCCTTTATACATGTTTCTTGATGACCCTTCCCCTTCTTTCCCCTGTTATCCCCTTCCCTCCTCCCATCTGGTTACTGTCAGTTTGTTTTTAATTTCAGTGTCTCTGGCTATATTGTTTGCTTTTTCCTTTTGTTGATTATGTTCCAGTTAAAGGTGAGATCATATGGTATTTGTCCCTCACTGCCTGGCTTATTTCACTTAGCATAATGCTCTCTAGTTCCATCCATGCTGTTGCAAAGGGTAGGAGCTCCTCCTTTCTCTCTGTTGTGTAGTATTCCATTGTGTAAGTGTACCATAGTTTTTTGATCCATTCAATTTACTTAGGGGCACTGAGGTTGCTTCCAACACTTGGCTATTGTAAATTGTGCTGCTATGAACATTGGGGTGCATAGATTCTTTTGGATTGGTGTTTCACGGTTCTTAGGATATAATCCCAGTAGTGGAATTGCTGGGTCAAAAGGCAGATCCATTTTTAGTTTTCTGAGGAAATTCCATACTGTTTTCCACAGTGGCTGCACCAGTCTGCATTCCCACCAACAGTGCACTAGGGTTCCCTTGCCTCCACGTCCTTTCCAACACTTGTTGTTTGTTGATTTGTTTATGATGGCCATTTTCACCAGTCTGAAGTATCATGGTGGTTTTAATTTGCATCTCTCTAATGGCTAGCGATGCTCAGTATCTTCTCATATGTCTCTGGGCCCTCTGTATGTCCTCCTTGGAGAAGTGTCTGTTCAGATCCTTTGCCCATTTTTCAGTTGGGTTGTTTGTCTTCCTGGAATGGAGTCATGTGTTTTTTATATATTTTGGAGATCAAACTCTTGTCTGGGTATCACTGGCAAATATATTTTCCCATGTTGTTGGTTTCCTTTTCATTTTGATGATGTTTTCTTTACCTGCACAGAAGCTTTTTCATTTGATGTAGTTCCATTTGTTTAGTATTCCTTTATGTTGCTCGCTCTAGGGGACATATTGGTGAAAATATTGCTGCGAGAGGTATCTGAAATTTTATTGCATATATTCTCCTCTAGGACTTTCCTGTGTCATGCCTTATATTTAAGTCTTTTATCCATTTTGAATTTATTTTTGTGAATGGTGTAAGTTGGTGGTCAAGTTTCATTTTTTGCATGTAGCTGTCCACATCTCCCTAATAAATAATTATAACTTTAACTTAATGAGTACGTAGTATATACTGGTCACTGTGATAGGGACTTTACATAATATCTTAGTTCGAGACTACTCTAACTATTAATGTAAACTAGTAAAAATAATTGGATTAGGGAGCTAGGCTTACAGTCTGACCTAATCAAAGTAATATGCAGTCAAGTTGTGGTTACTTGACTGTAGTCACACAACTAGAAATGGAGGAAATTGGACAAACCTTGTTTTTCTGGTTTGTTTTTAGATTTTATTTATTTTCAGAGAGAAGAGGAGGAAGGGAGAGAGAGAGGGAGAGAAACATTGATTGGTTGCCTCTCATATGCACTCTGACAGGACTGAACTCACAATCCAGGCATGTGCCTTGACTGGGAATTGAACTGGTGACCATTTGTTTTGTGGGACAACGCTCCAACCAACTGAGCCACACCAGTCAGGGCTAAACCTTGTTCTTTTAGACTCTAGAAATTTTATTTTTATTAAGCCTTTTTGTATAGATACTTTGGTATTTGCTATAGGTATTGCACTATGCATATGTCACTTATCACTCATCTACTGATGTTGCCTTTTTACCAGTCTAGTGACATATAGAAGCCTTACCTCTCTTTAAATTTCGTCACCTTCACTATTTCTAATTGTTTTTAAAAACCCTCTACCTATATTGAGAACCACATTAGACAAATGCTATACTTCTTGTTTGAAGCATCAGACATAATAAAGAAAACTCAAGAAGAAGAAAGAAGCCTGTTGTTTACCCATAGTTTTACTCTTCCCATTGCTCTTTCTTCCTTCCTAATATTCCAAGGGTCCTTTTTACCATGTTGAGTAGGAAAAACCCAGTTCTCCTGTGCTTCTCTTTTACTGGCACTAGTGCCACACTCACAACACTTTGGACACTAGCTGTGGGGGCTTTTCCCCCACCAAGCAATCTTTAGCACCAGCATGGTGTCCTACAATTAACTCAGTTCTGAACTGTCTGCTATACACCAGATCCCACAGGTTAAGGGCTCAGTCCTCCCACAAGACTGCCCTCCCCTCATTTCAAATACCAAACACAAGTTGGGTTGTCACCTGTGCTTCTGCTGGCCAGTTGTAAATCAGAAGTTCTTGCAGATGTCCTCATTGGGTTCCATTAATTTGTAAGAGTAGCTCACAGAACTCAGGAAAACAGTTTACTTAACATTGACTGCTTTATTATAAAAGGATGTGATGAGATACAGATGAATGTCCAAATGGAAGAGATGCGTAGGGTGAGGCATGTGGGAAGGGGTGTGGAGCTTCCTTGCCCTCGCTGGGCGAGGTGTTTTCTCAGCACCTGCCCGTGTTCACCAACCCAGATAGAAGTTCTCCAGACCGCGTACGTTTGGGGTTTTATGGAGGCTTCATCACAGGCACGATCAATTGATCAATCATTAACTCTTCTTTCTAGCTTCCCTCTGAAGGATGGGACAGTGGGGGCTGGGTGCTGAAAATTCAGAACTTTTAATTTGGCTTGGCCTTGGTGGTGACCAGCCTCCAGCCCACCTGGAGTCACCTCAGTAGAACAAAAGGAAATTTTTGTTCAGTAGAACACCCAGGAAATTACAATGGGTTTAGGAAGTCTGTCAGGAACCCAGGTCAGCTGCCAGCCTGTTTCTCACAGTGGCTGCTGCATTTTACGTTCCCACCAGCCATGTATGAGGTTTTCTCCACATCTGTGTCAACATTTGTCTTTTGGTGGTAGCTCTTCTAGTGTGTGAAGTGCTGTCTTGTGGTTTTATTCGCATTTCTCTAATGGCTAATGATGTTGAACAGCTTTTCATGTGCTTATTGGCCATTTGTGTATGTACTTTGAAGAAATGTCTATTTAGGACATTTGTCCATCTAAAAAATTAAGTTACTTGTGTTTTTATTGAATGTAATAGTTCTTTATAGATTGTAGATACAATTCCCCTATTAGATATATAACTTGCAAAAGTTTTTTTTCCTGTTCTGTGGGACATACTATTTTTTTATTTCTTTGACTATTTCTCCAACTGCATCCACATCCTCCTCCTGGTACATACTTGGCACAAATGTTGGATCTTTAGTTATGGTCCCATACACTCCTGAGGCTCTGTTCATTTTTTTATAGTCTTCTTACTCTCTTGTTCAGATTCAGTAATTGCTATTGTTTTATCTTCAGGATCATTCTTTCCTCTTCATTCTGCTTTTATGCACCTCCATTCAGAATTTTTATTTTGGCTGTTATGTCTTTCAGTTCTAAAATTTGTGTTTGCTTTTTTCTTTTTTATCTTCTATTGATGAGATTTTTTTTATTGTTTCAAGTGTGTTTGTGATTGCTGAAATATTTTTTTAAAGATTTTATTTATTTTTATTTTTAGAGAGGGAAGGGAGGGCGAAAGAGAGAGATAGAGAAACATCAATGTGCGGTTGCTGGGGGTCATGGCCTGCAACCCAGGCATGTACCCTGACTGGGAATCGAACCTGTGACACTTTGGTTTGCAGCCCGCGCTCAATCCACTGAGCTACACCAGCCAGGGCTAAATTGCTGAAATATTTTCATGGTGGCTGCTTTAAAATCTTTATCACATAATTTCAATATCTGTCATCTGTGTCGGTATCCTTTGTCTTTTTTCAAGGTGAATTCTTCTTGATTCTTGGCATAAGTGATTATGTCTATATCCTGGACATTTTCAGAAAATGGTGATGAAATTCAGGACGTTAGTTAAATCTCTTGTAGTAGGCCTCCTCCTGGCTGCACAGGAGTGGGATGGGGCACTGTGTCATTGCTGTCAAGTCGGGGTGGAAATCCAGGGCCCTCTCAGGCTCCCTCCAGGCCTCATTCCTGCATGCGAGGATGGGGAGCGGCTCAGCGATGCTATAGGACAGGGAGAAGGCCTTGTCAGGCAAGATGGTGAAAGTGCTCAACTTGTGACATCAGATGAGGATGGGGCCACATTTTTTAGTGTTGTTTGGCCTCAGTAAGGAAGTGTTTTTGTCTTGCTAGGTTACCCTTCTTAACATAGAAATATCTAATACATATATCTAAGAAATATCAAGACACTGAACTTCAGGCAGCAAAAGACAATAGTCTCTTAGAGATGGGAAACAAAATTGTTCCCACCTAGTATCTGGAAAAAGTCCAAGGCTCCAGGAGGGCTCATCCTGTCAGGACCTGGTGGTCCCCTGAATTCAGAGATAGGGTTGGGAGTCAAGGGAAGTCAGTGTGGCCAGAGCTCACAGGGGAGAACTCCTGAGAAGAGAGAGATGCATAGCAAAAGAACTGATGAAGTCTGCAGAGCGGCCCAGCAAATAATTCTCTCATGTACGAAACAGTGCATGCTTGTGAGGAAACTACCCAAGGCCAGGGGACGGCCTACCCAAAAGGATTAGAGGAAACAATGTCAGAGCTGAAAACAGCGCCTGCCTTCAGCAGCCACAGTGGAGAACCTCGTAATTCATGTGGCATTGGAGGA